TGACCACCACAGCTCTGCCCATGCCCCCACCGCCCAAGTCCAAACCGCCTAGTCCTTGAGGCCGTATGGGGACACATGCTTTAAAAAAGAAACAGACTGCTTTACTGAGGCATAACTGATGTCCTCGTAAAATTTACTAACCATAAGTGTACAATTCAATAGTTTTTGATTTATAAAGTTGTGCAACCATCATTACAATATAGTTTTAGAACATTTCTATCACCCCCGCAAAGTCCCATCTCACCCATTTATAGTTAATCCTCACTCCCACCCTCAGCGCTAGGAAACCCTGATCTACTCTCTGTCTCTATAAATTTACCTTTTCTAGGCATTTCATACAAATGGAATCACATAATAAGTAATTTTTTGCATCTAGCTTCTTTCACTTAGCATAATGTTTCTGAGGTTCACCATGTTTCAGCCTATAAGCGTAGTCTGTTCCTTTTTGTTACCAAGTAGTACGTTATTGGGTGGATATACTAAATTTCGTTTACCCAGTCACTAGCTGATAGATACATTTAGATTGTTTGCAGTTTCTGGTCATTGTGACTAAAGTAGCTCTGAACAACTGCATATATGTCTTCATGTGGACATACACCTTCATTTCTCTTGGGTAGATTCCTACAAGTGGAATTGCTGGGTCATACGGTAAGTTACATGTGTTAAGAAACCAAAAAACTCTTTTCCCAAATGGCTGCACCATTTTATATTCCCAACAGCAATGTACAAAGATCCAATTTCTCCACCTCCGTGCCAGAACTTGGCATTATCTGTCTTTTGGATTATAGCCATTGCATGGGGGTGCAGTGGTATCATATTGTGGTTTTAGTTTGCACTTCCCTAATGACTACTGATACTGAACATCTTTCATATACTTATTAGCCATCTGTATATCTTCTTTAGGGAAATATCTGTTCAAATCTTTTTTGCCCATTTTTAATTGTGTTATCTATCATCTTATTATTGAGTTGTAAGAGGTCTTTATATATTTTGGAAACAAGTTCTTTATCTGTTATCTGATTTGCAAGTATTTTCTCTTAATTGGAGGCTTATCTTTTTATTTTCTTAGTGGTGTCTTTGGAAGTGCAAAGATTTTTAATTTTATCAATTCTTTCATTCAGAAATCCTGTGTTTGGTATCACTTCACTCGACCCATGGTCACAAAGATTTTCTTCTGTTTTCTTCTGTAATTTTTATAATTTTGGCTTTTACATTTAGGTCTAAGATCTATTTTTAGTTAATTTGGGGGCTAATGTGAGGCAAGGGTCTCAGATGACGTTTTTATATGTGGGTATCCAAGTGTCTCGGCACTGTTTGTTGAAAAGACTATGCTTTCCCTTTAGAATTGTCCTGACATTTTTGTCAATATTTAATCAAACATAAAGTTCAGGATTTATTTCTGGACTTTCCATTATGTTGCACTGATCTCTGTACTCATATGTGTACCAATACCTCAGTGTCTTCATTACTGTAGCATTAAAGCTTTGAAAACAGAAGTGTAAGTCCTCCAACTTTGTTCTTTATCAAAATTTACATATATAATCCAGAATCAGCTTGTCATTTTCAACAAAAAAGTGTGCTATTTAATTTTGACATGTTTAGAGATTTTCCTGCTATTGTTTTGTTATTGATTTCTCATTTGATTCCACTGTGGTCAGAAAACACACTCTGCATGATTTTAATTCTTTTCAATTTGTTTAGGTTTGTTTTATAGCCCAGGATATGGTCTATCTTGATGAATGTTCCATGAGGGCTTGAAAAAAAATGTGTTCTTCCATAGTTAGTTGGAGTGTTTACTACGTATCAATTGGGTCCTGTTGGTTGATCGTGTGGCCGGGTACCAGTCCGTGGCCTGGTGGCCTGTTAGGAATCGGGCCACACATCACTGCCTGAGCTAGGGCCCCACACCCTCCCACCTCCACCTCTCCACCCCCCATCCATGGAAACATTGTCTTCCATGAAACTGGTCCCTGGTGCCAAAAAGGTTGGGGACTGCTGGCTTACATCTTAAATATCTTTGCTAATTTTCTGTCTACAGGAGGTCTATCAGTTACTGAAAGGGAGGCATTGAAGTCTCCAACTAAAACTGTAGATTTATTTCTTCTCAGATATTTCAGTTTTTGCTCTTTTAATTTTGTGGTTGTATTGTTTGATGTGTGCACATTTAGGTACTCTATCTTTCTGTTGGATTGATCCTTTTATCATCTAGTATCCCCTGAAGTTTATTTTATCAGATACAATATGTCCGCTCCTAATTCGTTTTATTGTTTGTGTGGTATATCTTTTTCCATCCTTTTCCTTTCAATCTACTTGTGTCACTGTGTCTGAAGTGAATTTCTTGTAAACAGCATATAGTTGAGTCATGTTTTTAATCCACTTTGCCAGTCTCTGATTTTATAGATGTATTTTCATTTACATTTAAAATAAATGGTATGTTAGCAATTTTCATACTACTGCCATCTTAACATTTGTTTTCTGTGGTTATCATTCCTGTGTTTCTTTGTGTTACTTAAATATATTTTAAGACTCTATCTTGATTTTTCTATAGTGTTTTTGAATGTGGCTTTTTTTTTATCTGTTTGTTTTTTGCAGTTATTTTAGCGGTTGCTTTGGGCATTACAATATATACATGACTTACCACAGTCTATTGGCACCAATATTCCATACTTTGCTGGACTTTTGATGTTAATTTTGGTCATTTTACCTCCCTCAGTCTTAAATAGCATTGTCTTGAGCATCAGATGGTTTTATAATTTTTGTTTCAATCATCAAATATGATTTTTAAAACTCATGACTATTTATGGAAGGAATAGCCTACAATATGTACTCATGTTTTTGCTCTTTCTGTTGCTCTTTCTTCCTAATGCTTCAAGATATTTTTTTTTTCTGTTTCAAGAATTTCTTTTAGGCATCATTTTAAAGTAGGTCTGCTAGTGACAACTTCTTTTAGTTTTCCTTCATCTGAGAACATCTTTATTTCCTTTTCATTCCTGAAGGATAATTTTGCTGGATACAGAATTTGCAATTAACAATTTTTTTCTATCAGTATTTGAAAAATGTGCCACTTTTTCCTGCTCTCCATGGATTCAGAAGAGATATTAATATGCTCTAATATGCACTGTCATTCAAATTTGTCTTCTGTTTAATTATAAGGTGTCTTTGTGTAAATTTTGTTGGGTTATCCTGCTTGGCATTTATTCAGTTTCTTAAATCTATAGATCTTTGTCTCTTGCCAAATTTGTGGCATGAGCTTTCAGCCATTATTTCTTCCAATACTCTTTCAACTCCACGCTGTTTCTCCTCTCCTTCTGAAACTCCAATAATAGAATGTTAGATCTTTTTTCCCATAGGTGATCAAGGAATGTTCCTTTGTTTGTTTTTAGTCTATTTTGTCTCTGTTGTTCAGATTAGACAAATTATATTGATCTGTCCTCAAGTTCACTAACTTCTCTGTTCACTGACATCTCACTAACATCTCCACTCTACTACTGAGTCCAACCAGTGAGTTTTTCATTTCTGTTTTTGTACTATTGAGTTCTACAATTTCCATTTGTTTGGGGTTTATTTTATAACTTCTCTATATTGGCTGAGATTTTCTATTTTGTCATTTGTTTTAAGAGAATTTGTAATTGATCATTGAATCATTTTTACGACAACTACTTTAAAATCTTGTCAGATGATTCCAATACTTGATTCATCTTAGTGTTGATCTGGTCAATTATCTTTTCTCATTCAAAATGTGATTTTTGTGGTTTTTAGTATGAAGAGTGCTTTTTGATAGTATCCTGTTAGGAGGCCCTGGGTCCTATTTGAATGTTTTATTTTTGTAGTTAGTCACCCTGTTTAGGTTTATCATGCAATCCTGGCCTGTTTCTGTGGACTACGGTTCCAATGATCTTTTCATTTTCAGAGGCTTTGTAGTATTATTTTGGTCTGTTTGGTTTATCTGGTACTGCTGGGCCCTGCAAGTGCTGCCTGAAGGGGTGGAGATTTCCCCAGATTGGGAAGCCAGATGTCTCTTGGTTGTGGAGGGAAGTCTCAGACCCACAGAGATGAAGCTGCTTCCTCACTGGGTCCCTTGTTGTGTCTAGGTGCCTTTTGCTGGCTCTGTCCTTAAGCCCTGGTGTCACCTGGTTGGGGAGGGGAATGTCAGGCCTGGCAGGGAAGGAGAGCCCTTTCCCTGGGGCTTACTGTGGGAGGGGCTCCCAATTCCCCTCCTTGCTGGTGACGGTAAGCTCATCTGAGATTTTCAAAGGAACTCCCATCAGATCCAGGGGAGGAAGGAGCTTACCTGGATGTTTTCTGTTGCTAGGTTGGGGTAGGGAAAAACGGGTCTGGGTCCCCTTCTGCTGTGGGATGGGGAAACATGAGATGCCCTGCAGCTGTGCTATTTCTCTAGTCCTGGGATCCCAAGTCAGTTTATCTTCTTTTCATACCTTTCAAAGTCCTCCTTTGATGGTCTCTTGTGTTATTTCTAGTGTTTATAGTTTTGCTTAGTGGAGAATAAAAGGACGAAGTTGATCTATGCCATCTTGTCTGGATTGAAGTCCCCAGTTTTTAAGTGCTTTGAGTGTGCAGTATTTCTTATAATTATTATGTTCTCTGTGAGGAGCATCCTGCCAGCTAAAAGTGGGGCATAGGACAAGTCAGCATGGATGAAGGGGATGAGGAGTATTTGTGGTCAAAGGTATCAAAGTGCAAGCCTGCTGCAAGCCCCTCCTAAGCAGAGGAGCAGCCCTGCAGGCCCACACCTGAGCCGCCTCTAGCATGCATGTCAGGTCAGCACGAGCCACGTGCGCTCTGAACCCTCTGTCGATGATAACCAGAATGTGGACTCTGGAAACATGCAAATGCATGCAGAACACACATCTTTAGGCTTATTTGTGGACTAACATGCAGACTTTTAGGTAAAAATACAAATTTAACCAATTTTTTGGTAATATCAAAAGAATATAAAATAGCAAAGAGCTCCATTTGAAAAAGGAAGAAAATATCCTTACCTGTTCTGAGGGCATTTCACCAAATAATGTCTCACTGTGAAAGGAAAAATAATAGAAGATGGTAAATCAATGCTACCTCAGATGTATATGCTACAGGAATTACCAGGAAATGCAGGGAGCTAGGTGTTATTCAGGTGTTGGTGCTGTACCAGCCAACTCCCAGGGCTTCTGTACCTCTCTTTGGGAGAGCACAGCATGGACACCCCAGTGAATTGATATTGTTCCAGCCCTGGAGCTAGCCAGACACCAAGCTATACACCCCGGAGTTCTTGGTTACATAACCCAAAATGTTCATTTTTGGCCAAAGCAGGTTGAGTTGGTTTCTACACTCGAAGAGAGTAATAGGGTCAACCAACTTCTGAGCTCCGCCTGAGTCACCTTGAAAGTCCTCTTGGGGCCAGACAGGACAACCCATCTCCACTTAGTAGATCCTCATTATAAAATGGGGTTGCATTCTCTGATTAATGCTCTTCCAGGACTAAAACGAGGCCCTTGGGAAAATAGTCTTGGAGCAAGGCGTCCTTTTACAGTAGCTCTCCTTGAGGAAAAACAAGGGATTCTGGCTGCAGAGGAAAGATAGGCACTTAATACTTAGGCACTTAATCCAACAAATGTCCAATCTAAGGCTCACAGTTCAGTTTACTTCAAATAGAAGAAAAGCCAATGGGAGGTTGAGGCAGGAGGATCGCTTAAGATCAGGAGTTTGATCCCAGCCTGAGCAAGAGCAAGACTCCATCCGTACCAAAAATAGAAAAAATTAGCTGGGCATTGTGGTATGCACCTGTAGTCCCAGATACTGGGGAGGTTGAGGCAGGAGGATTGCTTGAGCCCAAGAGTTTGAGGTTGCAGTGAGCTACGATGACGCCACTGCACTCTACCCAGGGTGACAGAATGATACCCTATCTCCATAAAAAAACAAGATAAAAAAAAGGGAAGTAAAGCTAAAACAATCAGGGGAGGCTGGGCTTGTGTGGTCTATTGTATCAATGGACGCAGCGAATCACACCTCCTGGTATCTGTCCATACCCACATATAGCCCCCTCACAGGCACACCGACTGCAGGCTTGGCCACGTGACTTGCTTCGGTCAAGGGAACATTAGCCAATGTGTCACACGCAGAGGCAGGCATAAAAGGCACCTGTGCTCTGAGGTTTACTCTCCCTCTTGCCACCACATGAGGAAGCCTGGCTGGCCTACTGGAAGACGAGACTGCATGGATCAGACACCGTCATTCCAGCTGAGGCCCCAGAGCAGCCGGGCCCCAGCTGATCCACCAGCTGACTGCAGCTGCATGACGGACTCCGGCTGAGACCAGAAGATGAACTACATGCTGAACCCAGCCCAAGCTTCTGACATGTGGAGCTGTGGGCAAATAAAACGCTTTTCTTAAGCTATTATATTTGGGGTGATCTGTCATGCAGGTAACCAATGCAGGTTCGAGGGCAGTACGAGAGAACCTAGCTTCAGTGAGTGCTGTACAGGTTTATCTGGTCCAACCCCCTATTAATACCTAAGCTCTTTCTGCATTCCATTTACTGAGCACCTACTATACGCTAGATAATTTACAGATGCAACAATAACAACCAGAGTTGGTATTTATTGACCATTTCGTGTGCTCCTGGCACTATTCTAAGCTTATTAGATGGATCAGTGGCCTTCAGTCTAGGGTTTGCACAGCCCTGGGTACCCTTTGGAAGAACAGTTTTAAGGGAATCAATTTATAGATATTCATTGTCCACGGTATTCTTCCCTAAGAATTCATTGTTTTGGAATGTGCCTGTTGCCTGGCTGTATTCCTTCCCCTACCCCTTTTTAACACCATCCTTTTCTATTCATAAACTCAAAGCATACCCCATAAGCATCCTCACTTACCCTCTGTTGTCCTGTTCTGGAGGGAAATGTCAGTGGGCATCAAACAAGAAATGATGTAAAATACTGATATCTGTGTTAAAAAAGCAAATGACTAATAACTGGGCAACTAAACCTTCCACAACAGGGGAGGTTTCCAACATTTTGCTTTCAACAGTGATTGAACAATCACCTAATCCAGCTGTCAGATGGCAGAATAGTAAGAATCATCTTTGATGACAGATCATTATGTGTCCTTTGACATACAACTCAGAAGCAGTTTAAAGTCCTAGGTGGTATAAGACAATTTCATCCATTCATGCCTCTTTTTATGTTGAAGGAGGGATTTCAGAGCTAAAA